ACAAAGAGGTGAATCAGAAGAGGAGCAGCCAGGCCATGAATCAGCAGCCATATGGGATGCTGGTGCCACAGAAGGAGACTTAACATACTGAGCCACAGTGCCAGCTCCCAAAGACAAAATCTTAAAATCAGATGCTATAGAAAGGATCAAAAATTACATTGATTGGATTTATTTTTTAATTTGAAAATTTTCAAACTCAGTTAAGCAAAAAAGAATAATACACTAACTACACCAGATGACACTGTTTACCAGATTACACCACTTACCACAGTCACACTGTTAACACCTTGACTCATGCACTCAAAATTACTCTAAATAGATATAATATATCCCTCCCTTTTGGGAAAAGGTAGGAAGTAGTCCATAGTACCAAAATTCTTTATCATGCATTTCTCAGGAACAAGAACATTCTGGCATGCAATCACACATTACTTCATCTAAATTAATAAAAATTAATTTAATAATATCATCCAAATAGACCCTACATGAGAGTTGCCAAGTTATCCTGAAAATGTCCTCAGCAGCCTTTCTTCTTACTGATCCAGGATCAGTTTGTACATTAGTTTCAGATCCTGCGGTTCTTAGGTCTCTCTCAATTTAGAATATTATCACTGGGGTTTTTCATGACATGGAACCTCTAAAGAGCCAGGGTCAGTTGTTCTGAAAAAGTGTTCAACATTTTGGACTGGTTTGACTGTTTTCCTCATGATTATCAGATCAAATATTTGCAATACAACAGAAGTAGAACTTTGTGTGTCCTGTGCAGCATACTGAATATGTGGCTGCCATACCAATAGTGTTGTCAAGCCTATTTTGTAATTTTTCCCGTTGTAAAGAGGAAGTCATCTATAGGGTGATACTTTAAGAATGAAGAACACACTTAATCAATGGCAACTATGAAAGCCACAGAACTGTGGAATACAACCTCAAAGTGCTAAGAAAGAAAAAATCTATTAAAATAGACTGTGTCAACTAAAATAGCATTCAATAATATAGGTAAAATATTATATATTCTGAAATTATTTAATGATTCTGCAAAAATAGATCATTAAATGAAACAGCACCAATTTTTCATCTGCCAAATAATAAGAAATTTCAGTTACTAACAGCATGTTATAATGAAAGAAAGGACACCTACATCTCCAGGAAAGCAGGGAAGATCTAAGCACACAATAAATAGATGTTATTTAAAACAAATAAATTTAGCTTTATCAATAACTTACTTCTTATTTTTCCATTTTGCTCATTCATATTTTATTAGGATTGGTTAACAGTCCAAGGACAAGACTTTGTCATTTACTAAGATCAGCTAAGAAACGGGGAAAAGGACCTTTTTGTTAGCATGGGAAATTCAGTACACTTTTGTAAGTACAGTAATTAGGACTATAATATCTATTTTATAGTTGATGAATCTGAACTCTGATTTGTAAAATTAGGCTCACCATCACGGCTACCAGAAGAGTCTCAGATCTAAATACTCTCTGACTCTAAAGCCCATGTTGTTTTCTGCTCTGCTGTACTGATAAACACAAAAATACAAGTATGACATTCCTAGAGAAGCTAAAGACTATCAAGTAGCAGTTCAAGATAGCATTTACAACAGAAATCTTCAGGAATTTGAAGAACACTGACATCATAAATATAGAAAAATATAACTGGTCTAATTTGGCAAACAAATTACAACACTGGAATTGGCACAGGAAATCTAAGAAATTATGTTCGGGTTAGAAAAGTCAGAAAGATGTCGGTATAGGATAAAAATCATCAGACATATAAACTTAGGTATCAACCAAATCCTATAAATACAAATCCATACAATAGAAACAAGTTAGTAAAACACAAAAATCAAATGAATTTCACTAAGATTGTAGGGAGTAAAAGAAGTTATTTAAAAACAGCACATATTTTATGACTCCATTTATATGAAGTTGTAGAACAGGCAAAACAAGCCTATGATTTAAAAAATATCAGGGCCGGCGCCGCGGCTCCCTAGGCTAATCTTCCGCCTTGCGGCGCCGGCACACCAGGTTCTAGTCCCGGTCGGGGCGCCGGATTCTGTCCCGGTGGCCCCTCTTCCAGGCCAGCTCTCTGCTGTGGCCAGGAGGTGCAGTGGAGGATGGCCCAGGTGCTTGGGCCCTGCACCCCATGAAAGAACAGGATAAGCGCCTGGCTCCTGCCATCGGATCAGCATGGTGCGCTGGCCGCAGCGCGCCGGCCGCGGCGGCCATTGGAGGGTGAACCAATGGCAAAAGAAGACCTTTCTCTCTGTCTCTCTCTCTCACTGTCCACTCTGCCTGTCAAAAAATAAATAAATAAAATAAAATAAAAAATAAATAAATAAAATAAAATAAAAAATATCAGATCAATGACTGACTGTGAAGGTGAGGTTCACTGGGAAATGGAAAGAGAGAATATAATAGGATGGTGGGTTTGACTTACCTAAGCATAGGTTTGTGGACTTCATTAATTTAACCTCAAAGGGGAAAAAATATCATAGACAAATATGAACTCTGGCTAGACATACACATACAGATATTTAGGAGAAGGCATAATAATATATAAACTTTATTTTGGAATTAATTACAAATAAGATGAATTTATGGGGCCGGCGCCGCGGCTCACTAGGCTAATCCTCCACCTAGCGGCGCCGGCACACCGGGTTCTAGTCCCGGTCGGGGCGCCGGATTCTGTCCCGGATGCCCCTCTTCCAGGCCAGCTCTCTGCTGTGGCCAGGGAGTGCAGTGGAGGAAGGCCCAAGTGCTTGGGCCCTGCACCCCATGGGAGACCAGGATAAGTACCTGGCTCCTGCCATCGGATCAGCGTGGTGCGCTGGCCGCAGCACTCCGGCCGTGGCGGCCATTGGAGGGTGCACCAATGGCAAAAGGAAGACCTTTGTCTCTGTCTCTCTCTCTCACTGTCCACTCTGCCTGTCAAAAAAAAAAAAAAAAAAAAAAAAAGATGAATTTATGGGATGGATGGATAAATGTATAAACATGGGATACAGAAAAAATGGGAAAACGCTAGACTGTAGTTGGTTAATTTAAAAACTGCTCACCTAGGCCGGTGCTGTGGCGGGTAAAGCCACTGCCTGCAGTGCCAGCATCACATATGGGCACCGGTTTGTGTCCTGGCTGCTCCACTTACGATCCAGCTCTCTGCTATAGCCTGGGAAAGCAGTAGAGGATGGCCCAAACCTTTAGGTCCCTGCACCCTTGTGGGAGACCTGGAAAAGGCTCCAGGCTCCTGGCTTCAGCTCGGCCCAGCTCTAGCTGTTGTGGCCACTTGGGGAGTAAACCTGCAGATGGAAGAGCCTCTCTTTCTGCCTCTGCCTCTTTAACCCCACGTTTCAACTAAATAAATAAATCTTTTTTTAAAAAAAAAAGTGCTCACCAGCATTCTTTCAACTTTGTTACATATTTACATTATGATCAATTTCAGTTCACAATTGATCATAATGAAAGGACTAAGAGTCAAAGGGAGCACATAAACAAGTCTAGTACCTGCTAACACTAACCGATAGAATAAATAAAGGGGAGAGTGATCCAACATGGGAAGTGAGATACTCAGCAGACTCATAGAATGGCAGATGTCCTAAATAGCACTCTGGCCTCAGAATCAGCCCTAAAGGCATTCGGATCTGGCTGAAAAGCCCATGAGAGTATTTCAGGCATGGAAAGCCAAGACACTCTGGCAAAAGATCTCTGCGAGTGAGATCCCAGTGGAAAGAACAGGTCTTCAAAGAAGGAGGTACCTTTCTCTGAAGGGAGGAGAGAACCTCCACTTTGACTATGACCTTGTCTAAACAAGATAAGAGTCGGAGAACTCAGAGGGCTTCCATAGCCTTGGAAACTCATGACTGGAGCATAGGGAGATTACTGATGCCATAGACAGGAGTGTCAATTGGTAAAGTCAACAACAGGAGTCACTGTGCACTTACTCCTCATGTAGGATCTCTGTCCTTAATGTGCTGTGCATTGAGATTTAATGCTATAACGAGTACTCAAACAATATATTTCACTTTGTGTTTCTATGGGGGTGCAAACTGTTGAAATCTTTACTTAATGCATACTAAACTGATCCTCTGTAAAAAAAAAAAAAAAAAGAAATTATCAACTCCCAACTTGACTCTCACTGGGATTAAACATGACAATAGGTCTGATCTGATTTCATCATCATTTAAAAAAAATCATCTATTATTTTTCACTTTATGTTTCTGTGTGGGAGCAAACTGTTGAAATCCTTACTTAATGTATACTAAGCTGATCTTCTGTATATTAAGATAATCGAAAAGGAATCTTGATGTGAATGGAAGGGGAGAGGGAGTGGGAAAGAGGAGGGTTGTGGGTGGGAGGGACGGTATGGGGGGGAAGCCATTGTAATCCATAAATCGTACTTTGGAAATTTATATTCATTAAATAAAAGTTAAAAAAAAAAGTGCTCACCAGCATTCTTTCAACTTTGTTACATATTTACAATTTTCATAATAAGATGTTGGGGAGAATATACATGGTACATGTGACTACAGAGCCAAGACAATGTTATTTGTAAACATATAAAATAATATAAAGGCCCAACTTTATAGAAGAGATTATATAACTATTATGCAGTTTAAAAATATTAGCTGTAGACAGTATTAGTATCATAAAGTACTTAGGAAGACACATTCAGATGTTGCCAATCTGAAGTAAAAAGTGGGATAATAAAAATGTAGTGAAGACTAATTATACAGAAAAGCAACACATTCTAGAAAACTTAAAATATGAAATGATGAGAAAATCTAGTAAAACTCAAATACTTACAGTAACAATATACTTAAGAAATCAGAATTAGCTCATTATATTTCAAACTCAAGTCAGTCACTGTAAGCAAATTTAGTCACAATCAATCCTACTAATGAAAGATGATGAAGACATCCAAAGACAATTTGAACAGAGCCTTGATTATTAATACACTTGATGGGAATTTAACATTTTTAATATATTTTGAAAGAAGTACTTCACCTGCCATCTCTTTTGAGGGCAAAAGTAATGCCATCTTTCTGGAATGGAAGGAGCTTTGCTTTTAGTTTGTCAGGCAAAAAATCCAGTTGCTTGTAAGATTCACTTGTCAAACAAGCAATCTGAGGCGTGAGAGACTTTTTCACATTATGAACTTGAGGCATGATGATTCTAAAAACAGAAATGCAAAAAGAGAAGGGTAGGGAAGATAAATATTAGCAAGTGTATTATAGAATCATATATAAATAATAATATTACAGTACTTATAAATAGTTTCGATATACTATTTACATAGATATAAACTAGTTAAAAAATGTTCCCAGAACATGGCCAGCATTGTGGCACAAAGGGTTAAGCTGCTGTGTGTGATGCCAGCATCCCATATTAGCATCAGCTCATGTCCCAGCTGCTCTACTTCCATCCAGCTGCCTGCCAGTATACCTGGGAAAACAAAGGAAGATAGTTCAAGTACCTGGACTCCTGCCACCCATGTGGGAGACTTGGATGACCCAGCCCTAGCCATTGTGGCCATTTGGGGGTTGAATCAGCAGATATCTTTCTCTCTCTCTCTCTTTCTTCCCCTAGGTGACTCTGGCTTTTTTTTTTTTTTTTTTTTTGAAGATTTATTTTATTTGAAAGTCAGAGTTACAGAGAGGGGGAGGTAAAGGCAGAGAGAAAGGGGTGGGGGAGCTTCCATCTACTGGTTTACTTCCCAAATGGACACAACTACCAGGGCCAGGCCAGGCCAAAGCCAGGAGCCAGGAGCTTCATCTGCATCTCCCACATGGGTGCAGGAGTTCAAGCGTCTGCTTTCCCAGGTGCATTAGCAGGGAGCTGGATTGGAAGTGGAGCAGCTGAGACTCCAACTGGTGCCCATACAGGATGCCTGTGCTGTGGGTGATAGCTTTATCTGGTATGCCAGAGCACAACTCCCTCTGGCTTTCAAATAAATATAATAAATCATTAAAAAAAAAAAAGTACACAGACTAGGTTACTAAGAAAATTCAAAGCACTGAATTCAAACAATTATTTCATCTACTTGTTTTTTAAAAAAAAAGATTTATTTATTTATTTAAAGTCAGAGTTACACAGAGAGAGGTGAAGCAGAGAGAGAGGTCTTCAGTCCGATGGCTCACTCCCCAATTGGCTGCAACGGCCAAAGCTTCCTCCAGGTCTCCCATGCAGGTGCAGGGGCCCAAGGAGTTGGGCAATCTTCTACTGCTCTCCCAGGTCATAGCAGAAAGCTGGATCGAAAGTGGAGCAGCCGGTCTCGAACCAGCGTCCATATGGGATGCTGACGCTTCAGGTCAGGGCGTTAGCCTGCTGCGCCACAGCGCTGGCCCCCTTCACGTACTTTCTATATATACTCTATCCTCTATTTCATTTTGAACCATAATATAGCCATAGCATAACTCAGTGAGATAATGTTATTATTGAAAAACTATATAATATGGGGCTGGCGCTGTGGCGCAACAAGTTAATGGCCTGGCCTGAAGTGCCGGCATCCCATATGGGCGCCGGTTTGAGACCTGACTGCTCCACTTCTGATCCAGCTCTCTGCTATGGTCTGGGATAGCAGCAGAAGATGGCCCAAGTCCTTGGGCTTTTGCACCCGCATGGGAGACCCGAAAGAAGCTCCTGGCTCCCGGCTTCGGATCAGCGCAGCTCCAGCCATTGCAGCCAATTGGGGAGTGAACCATCAGAAGGAAGACCTCTCTCTCTCTGCCTCTCCTCTCTCTGTGTAACTCTGACTTTCAAATAAGTAAATAAATCTAAAAAAGAAGCTATACAATAAACAATAAGACTTTTAGAAATTGAATACTTTTTAAGATAAGGGGTGGATTTCCTATAAAAAGATGAGTCCTTTTGTGATTGATCCTTTTATAAATGTACATTTTAATACAACACCAAATTTACTATGTGTGGGGCAAACCTACATTGAAGAAATTATAAAATGTAAAGGCATTAATTAAAAATTCATAGTAATTACGGCGCCGTGGCTCAATAGGCTAATCCTCCACCTTGCGGCGCCGGCACACCGGGTGCTAGTCCCGGTCGGGGCGCCGGATTCTGTCCCGGTTGCCTCTCTTCCAGGCCAGCTCTCTGCTATGGCCAGGGAGTGCAGTGGAGGATGGCCCAGGTGCTTGGGCCCTGCACCCCATGGGAGACCAGGAAAAGCACCTGGCTCCTGGCTCCTGCCATCGGATCAGCGCGGTGCACCGGCTGCAGCGGCGGCCATTGGAGGGTGAACCAACGGCAAAGGAAGACCTTTCTCTCTCTGTCTCTCTCTCTCACTGTCCACTCTGCCTATCAAAAATAAAAAAAAAAATAAAAAAAAATTCATAGTAATTAAATTAACATTAGTAAGTACGATTGAGTTTTGACTGTTAAGACTAATTCTATTTAATCAGTCAAATCCACTGTATAAACTCTGCTTGATTAGTACTTTCTTCATTCACTGTATTTCTACAGATGTAATTTTCATTTTCTAACACACACAAAAAAAATACCTGTAAATTCTTAGACCTCTACAAGAAAAATATTCTATTAAACCATACCAGTATAACACATCTCTGATATTTTTGTACTTAGCACCATGCTATCTCTATTTATATATATAATCTCATCCCATTTTTTTAAAAAAAGGTTTTTTTTTTTCAGTTACTTATGGACTTATAAAAAAACTGTGTGTATCCCCTCAAAAAAGTAACCAACCTCTCTAGCTATTAAAAATCTCAAGAATAAACCAAGTGTTTATTATTCACAACAAATGGGTGCCATGGGCCACTTTCTAGAAAAACAAGGCCCAGGGGTTCACAGGGCTTACATTCTTTAAGGAGAGACTAAAAGTAAACAAATAAACAAACAAGATGGTTAACAGTACAAATATTACAAGGACCTTATGAGGGTCATGACCACTTCATGAGGCTGACCTGGAGAAGGCTGTTTTAGAGGGTGCAATTTAACCAATGGTCTGAAGGATATAAAAAGCCAGGTTCAAAATTAAAAAGAAAGTATTCAAGGCAGAGAACACTAGTGCCAGGGCCTTGAGCTGATAAAGGCCTGTGTTTTCAAGAAACAGAAAGGAGGCCAATGTTACAGAGGCAGAGGAGAGAATAATACAAGATAAAGCTATTGAGATAAGCAAGAGCCAACTCACATGCAGCCCTGATAAGGACTTTGGATTCTATTTTAAGAATGAAGAAAACTAAGGGAGATGTGCTAATACACCATTAGTCGCAGAATCTTATTTGTTTAGTTACAATTAAATAAAGTTAATGATTCTATTCCTTAGTCATACCAGCTGTGTTTGAAATGCTCAACAGCCACATCTGGCTAGTAGCTTTCATACTGACAGTACAGATAAAGAACATTTCCACCTGCACTGGAAATCCTATTGTATACCACTTACAGAAGTGTTTTTAAGCAAGGAGGTTGACCCAACATTTCAAAAGTTACCAACAGGATACAAGGCTACCAACGGTAAGGCAGAAGATGAACATCGCTATAGAATTTGGCCAATGAACAAAGCCTCCACTGCTCCAGTAGGTAAATGGATTTAGAAATGTATTAGGACTCAAACCTGTCTGAATATGGTCCCCAAAAATACAAATGAGTAGGTATCCTTAGTACCCTCTCAACTACATGATCACCTACAACATAAAGAACAAAGAATACAAAATGGTTTCTGGAAACAGGAAATCTGTTATCAGATTGCAAAGGATAAGACAAAAACCATCTTGAACAGTAAACATGAAAAGATTTGGGATATGTACCAGAGGTAAAACAAACAGAACTTTGTGATAGATTACATGTGCAGAGTAAGAGAACTGTGTAATCAAGACGTGACTCAATCTAGAGGCATTTGATCAAATGATTAAGACCCACAGCTAATGTTGGAGTACCTGGGTTGATGCCCTGTTCTGGCTCCTGATAACAGATAACACATTTTTTTAAGCAGCTGTCTTAATAATCAATACTTAAAAAGAGATTGATTGAAAGATTTTATTTTCAATCTTTAAGGTTTCTGTAATCATAGTAAATTTGATTAGAATTAACTGATTCCTACCTAAACAAACAGTATACTACTATTGAGGAGGATCAGGTATTTCTGAAATATAATACTACCAAGAGATTTATCTTGGAAACAAGTAAATGGTTGATTAGTAAAATTGTGTATGTACAGAAGCAGATTTATTATTTTTGTTTTAAAATATTTATTATGAGGTCTTTTTTATTTTTTTAATGAGATTTTTATTTTATTTATTTGAAAGGCAGAATTACAGAGAGAGGAGAGAGAGAGAGAGAGATAAAGAGGGAGAAAAAGAGAGATATCTTCCATCTGCTGGTTCACCCCCCAAAATGGCCACATCATCTAAGGCCAGACCAGACCCAAGCCAGGAGCTTCCTCTGAATCTCCTAATAGGGTGCAGCAACCCAAGGACTTGGACTATCTTCTACTGCCTTCCCAGGTACATTAGCAGTGAGCTGGATCAGAAGCGGAACAGCCAGGCCTCATACCAGTGCTGCTATGGAATGCCGGCATCACAGAGGGTGATTAAATCTACTGTGCTACAGTGTGGCCCTATTGTAAAGGTTTTAATGCAGAATTAATACAGATAAAGAAGTAGTAAACTACAAGAAACATTAAAGGTAAGTATATTAAAAATATCGTTAAAAGAAAACTACTCTCATACTAGATTTAGAAAGTCTTTGCTGCTTTAAAAAGATATTCTTCAAATAGGATTCATAAACATGGAAAATAAAAAAATAAAAAGATATACCATGCATAATAAACTATAGCTGTGTCTCTTTATTAATGCAAGATAACATAGATATAAGGCAAAAAATTAGGATTTATTATTATTAGAATAAAGAAGAGCATTTTAAAAAGACAAAAACATTAATTTGCTAGAAAAACAAACAGCCTCAAAATACATAAAGACTTGAGGCATAAACTGATAGAAATCACAGGAAAATTTACAGAAACAAAATAACCAAATCTGTAACACAATCTATACAATTTTAATATTTCTCTCTCAGTAATTGATTTTTCAAACTGAACAAAATTCTGTAAGGATAAAAATGATTTCAAGAACATAATAAACAATTCTGATCTATTTGCTGAATGACAGAAATATTCACTTCACACTCCTTTGAAGCCAGCCTAA